GTAGGATAGTAGGATATAGTAGGATAGTACGTCAGTAGGAAGTTGGATAGGATTGGATAAGATGGATAGTAGGATATAGCACAATGGTAGTAAGTTTTTTTTAAACCGTAATCTGTATTCATTCATGAATCATGATTAGCAGTAGATATTGATTGTTTAAGTTGCTATTAGGTAAAATTTTGTTGTTTTCGTAGAATCTACTTTAATATTTTGGTCCACGTAAAAATCTACATTCTAACAATGACTTACTAAGCAACAAATTATAAGTAAGTATTTCTTGAAATTTAGATAGGACTTTATAATAATACTTTATTGCAATTAATAACTTAAAAGTATTTGTTACTATAATAAGTCATCAATAAAATACACATTTAAGAAAAATAAAGTTCAAAACTACCTTAATCACAAAAAATCTTTCTCCACATAAAGTTAGCCTGACCTTACCTTATTGGTATCACGGCAAATTGAGCAGCAAAGAGGTTGTATAAGCACCCACTTCGATGAAAACAATCTTACGGACTCTTTACTGATGGTGACCGCCGGAATCAATTACTTACTTGTTTCGGTACTCATTATTGGAGATCCCGTTGTTCAAATAATTTATAGATGTTTTTAATAGGTCTTTGTACACAACCAAATAGGTTTTATTATTGGAGTTATGAAAATAACTAGTTCCATATTGCAGTTTCTATGTCATTTTTATCTTGGATATTACCTAGTTAAAATTAAAGTAATTTAAAAATTCCATAGCGAAATATAAGACTTTATACCAAAAGCTTTTGTTACACTAATTTAAAAAAAAAAACTAAAGCAGCTTCCTCTACTACCTATAGGTACCTACAAAGTGTAAAGACCGATTACAGACTAAAAAAGAAAAATATATCAACATCCCGCGAAACAAAAAGGTTACGGTTCCAATTTTAAAAACCATAAAAAACAAATTTCAAATTGGGAAGCGCGCGAAAACGAAAATTTTAAGCGCATCGATTGGCTGAAAATGGCCCGTGGTTACGTCCCATTGGTCAAAGATAATGTTTGTGTGACTAACAATTTTGTGCGGGGGAGATAAACCGAAACCCGACCGCAAATGTTGACAGAAGCTTACAAGTTATATAATAAACGAAAAGTTACTTTATTCTAAAACCTTAGGGTATGTTTTGGCGTGCTACTTCAATTATAGTTGTATCAGAAATGACGAGTATGGGATGAAAAGGGACGGAAAATTGGACGCGAAAGCCTTTTTGTCGGTTGCAGGAGGGAGATCGGTTATTTATTAAAGGGTTCCATTATATTCCCAAAATACTAAGAAAAAATATCACGTTTAAATTTAAATTTTCTACCCCTTTTATCAATCTTACATTCAAAAAATATCTGACAATATTCACATTTATTTATGAATCGTCAGATAAAAACGCTAAAAAACAGTTTAGTCGAGTTTTATTTAACTTTTAATTTAAAATATTTAAATACAAGATTAAAGTTTCTAAGACTAACATTTTTAGAAAAAAATTTACCTACTTGTAGATATAAGTAGGTAGTACCTGCCCACTGAAAACTTTTTTTGTACAAATAAAACAAAGTATTCAATAAATAAACTAAGATTATTCATTATCGAAATACATTTTTAAAATAATCTCAACTAGTATTCCTATTCAAGAAAATGCTTGCACGTATTCTAATCAAACCTGTCAAACTACTCAAAGTTAAAGATATCGACATAAATTAAACACATCATTAACATAACCAACCCCTTATTTCATGAAATAATTTGATTATAATAGATAATTTAAAACTGGCCAAGTTCACCCCACCGCTGGTGGGGGCTAAATGAGGAATGGGCGGAGCGTGAATTAAAGCTACACAATATAAATCTGTGCGTCTCTTTCGCACAAATGAGCAATCCTAATAGCAGTAAGCGGCTTACAATGGGTGTTGACACTCTCTCGTATTGCTGTCCCTTTTTGACCCGGGCTTATGGCAATAGAGTCGTTTCAATGGCCCTTCATAGTTATAAAGGTATAGACAAGCACTGGAGGTCCACGTGAGATTTTGTAATCAGTGAATTGGCGCCTTTCGCAAGTAAAGGCGCTATGTCCGCGCGTTTGACACTTTGACGTTTCGTTTGGCGGGAAATTTTATTTGTGTTTTTAACAGAAACGGGGCGGTGAAAATTGCGATATACAGCCAGCATTAGTAGTGTGAACTTTTTGATAATATTTAGTGATGTTAGAAGCAGCCAGTTGAAGGTTGTTTTAGTTATTGCCTGTGCAATAACTTGGATTTTTTATAGGAAGTAATTTAAGGTAAGAAAATCTAAATATTAACATATTATTTTTTATGTATAAGATAAAATTACTGTGACACATTCAAACTTAGAAGTTAATATTTAAAATCATTATCTTATTCCTAGAATATTCTTAAGTACCTACTAAAATATATTAACAATCGATAAGTACTATTAATTAATCAGTGAATAAACCTATGTAACTTTATAGTATCCCTAATTTTAGAGCGTACAATAAATAAATTAATATACTAAATAAGTTTACATAGTAGGGTGGTTGCCACCCAGTCAAATTTAATAAATTTATCTATGAATTTTGTCAGAAAAACCATATTGTGACGTCAAATTTTTTTTTTACTTCATATAACATACATGATACATGTCGCATTTGAATTATTTAAAAAATGAAATATAATTTAGTTATTAACTTGTGGTTTTTTTATGATATTGTAAGTTAAAATAATAATAACTTTTTGACAGAGTAAATAATATTCGTGTCTTTTCAATCCCATATTTGCCAATACTTACTTACCTAAATTCTGTAGCTGTTTAAACCTTAGCTGAAGTCTAGGTACTATAAAATATAAACACTAACGGTCTTATTACAAAATAAGGTTTTTCTTGTTTAAACTATTGAGCCAGTTTTTGAATATCGAAAAGAAGGTATCGAACAGAATAAGATTCAAAACTTAAAACCTGACTCAATGGTTTAAACATAGACCAAAGATACAGCTTTTTTTTTTAACAAGGAGGTTAGTATTTCGTATTTATTCGGTAACCATTTAATCAATCGCTTGTTAATTAAAGTACTTAAATAACTATATACAGATAAGCTATGAGTTTCAACACTTAATTACAATTAAAACTGTAGGTATTAATTTCTTCTTTTTAATTACCACCCATGAATACATATGGCCTCTGAAAAGCAAAAGACATGAGTTTGAAAATCAGTCACGATTACTGGGTATTCACATCACGTTTGCTAGGTATCCACCTAAAACTAAACTAATGGTGTATTGTCTAAGAACTGACTTTTCAATTGATAGATAAAAGTTATCTGGTGAATAATTATGATGCTGTCGCGTCGCAATGTTTGTATAAGACAGTGACAGCAACAATTTTATTCCTCAGAAAACATTTATCTATCTATTGAAAAATCAGCCCTAAAAGTATTGCAAAAATAAAAATAAGTATAATTTTCAGTTTTCCATAATATAGAATTCTAATAGAATCCTAATAGGACACACAAAAGAAACATATCTAATTAGATTTTTTTCTGTAATTAGAAAATTGTTTTCTTCTACATAATACGTGTACAATATGACTAAACTTTCATCGTCAATTTTTCTTCGTCAAATTACACCCCCTTTTTTGAGGAGAGGAAACCTGAACAGCAGAACCGACGGCTATGCATTTTTGAAATAAGAAAGAGTTCCTAATTTGCTGCTAGTAACTGTTATGACTTTTAAACAAACCGAATGCCAATTGTAACTAATAACCAAGCATCTATACTGACCAAGAAGAATTACTTATGGACCGTTTCAAATATTCTGCATATATCCACAATATACCAGATAAATGTATACTTGTATATAGAACAAGTAATATACGTTGCACTATTTGCCTTATCAATTTATCGAGAACTCATATAAGGATGGTCAAACTGGCAAATAATGTAAATTATTATGATGGACGAAGTTCAATCTCACCCGTTTGAACCTGGATGTATCCTCAAACTAGCCATCCGACTAACTGCGATCCCTAAATACGGTAGTTTCCAACTAGTCAAATTCAATACTTTTATCCAACGATACTTTTCTATTAAATTTGTATGAAAAACTGAGCTATGACGTCATAACATTTTTGCGTCAAATAGCTTACTTATTTCACAATAATTAGCTAAAAAAATCTAAAACTTGGTGTATCGATCGATCGAAGAATAAAAGTATAGTTATTTTGTAGTATTGAAATATCGAATTAATTTATTTTGACCTAGGAAACTACCCAATTACCTGAGAAACACGGGGTTACGGCAAATCCCCTTTAAAGGATAAACAAAACAAAAGGATATTCAGCAGTGATGACGATCATGATGGTGAAAGCTACACCAGCCCCAAAACCTCATATTTATCTGTTACAAAGAATACTGCTATGGCTCAATTACATAGCCGATTATTCGAATTCTAATTCGACTTATGTACACTAATATTATAAAGAAGTAAGTATTGTATATGTGTGAGGTAGGTCTTTGGAACCGTTGGTCGGATTTCCAAAATCATTTCACTGATAGATAGCTACAGTGTTCCTGAGTATTATAAGCTAAAACAACACGCTACGACCTGAGTCGAGCAGCGGGCGAAACCGAGATAAGCTAGTCATTAAATAGACTGGACTCTATGGAAAGTAGGTAAATCTATAGGTTCATGTCTAACTTATCCTCCAAACTGATATAGAATTGTCGTCACATCGGATTACGAAAATGAAGAATGATGAAGAAAAAGTTTTCATTACTGGTCCACTATCAGCTAAAATTAATAACCACTCTCAATACTTGTAACCTTAGCTCTTCTCCTCTAACCTTAATACGAAATAACGAAATAGAAATAGGTAAATCCCGAACACAAGAGGTCGACAACGCACTTGTAGTAACTCCATATTCATATTCATTTATTTGCGTTCTACAAGGTAGTGTGGTGTTAACAATAAAAGCTTATAGCTAAGAGCCGTTGTAGACCCTGTCAGGGCACAGCAAAGTACTTACAAGCTAAAATTCAAATTAACATTTTTAAAATATAATTGAAACTAAATTAAATTAAATTCCTTAAGTATTACGAGTGTTCATTGGCAGCGCTGATTGCTTACCATCAGATAATCTGTCTACTCGTTTGCCGATCAATGACATGCAAAGAGATACAGTGCTTGTATGAAGTTTTCTCTCTAAAACTTTTTAGTATTCGACTGCTGTAACCTAATAATCTGTTAGAAGACAATACAATTTGACTTACAAACTGTCTCCGTCTCGTCGTTGTAGTCTTTGTGACCGTAGTTTTAGTTTCAGCCACTGTTGTGTCACTAACAACAGTGTTATTTGTGACTTTCATAGTCGGGGCAGTACTGATTTCTGTTGTTATAGCTTTCGTGTGTTGTACAGTTGCATCATCAGCAACGTTTTCTGTTTTTGTGGTATTCATTTTAAGTTTAGTCACTGTTGTTTCGTCTATTGAGTCTTTGTTTACCGTTTTGTTCTCCAAGTTTTCAGTGTCGCTTAGAATCATTTTGGTTGTAACTTCCACCGTTTGGTTACTTTTGGTTACCGTCGGTGAAGATTCAGTATTATGAACAGTGACATCTACTTCGGGTTTTTTTATTGTTTCTATATTTATGGTAGTTACTTTAGGTTCTTTCACTGTTGTTTCTTTTATCGTTTCATTTGCAATGACTATAATATCTCTAGCAACCATCTTTGTTGTGGCTTCCATCGTCCGATTAGTTTTGGTTACCGTTGCTTTAGACCCAGTGTGATGAACTGTGTCATATGTATTGGTATGTTTTGGTGCTCTCTTTTTAGTGCTATTTGTAATTTTGTGAGAGTTCATTTTAGCTATTGCTTTATTTTGTTCATGTATGGATACCAACTTTAGATTACTAGATAGGTTTTTACTTCCTGTGATGTGATAAACTGGGTCATATGCATTGGTATGTTTTGGTGCTCTCTTTTTAGTGCTATTTGTAATTTTATGAGTGTTAATTTTAGCTATTGATTTATTTCGTTCAGGTAAAGTTGGTATCCATACCAACTTTAAATTACTAGATAGTTTTTTATTTACTGGCTTCGTTTGTTTTTTACTTGCCGGAATTTTTGCTGTAGTAATATTAAAATTTGGTTTTATAGTTGTAGGATTCAGAAGATATGATTTAAATAAATTATTTGGTTTTTTAGGTGTTTTTATGTGAGTAGAAGAAGGTGTACTTTTTGATGTAGCCTTAAGTTTTATTTCTTTGGTATATTTTAAGGCAGGAGTACTTCTACGGCTTGATATACTTACTGTATTTTTGTAATCGTAAGGAGATGTAATTCTATTGTTTGTATTGATTTTGCCGTTCTTCAGTGACACACTAGTTATCATTAGTGTATCAGTTGATTTTTTATTTGTAACCTCTCTATGACGTTTTAGATGACTGCCAATTACACCAACAATTTCATCGTTTAATTTGTCAATAGATTGGTCGATATTTTCATTCATATTTTCATTTATGTATGAAGGCAACGGTCTGTGAGATTCAAAATACTTGTTAGCTCGTATTAGATCAATGGTGTCTTTGCTAAATTCTTTCTTTTGCTTTTCGATTCGGTCAAGCATAGTTTTCTTGAATTGTTCTTTTGTTATAAATGCATTGGGCATTCGGCACTCTACGGGATTATTTATGTAAATGACTGGTTCACCCCAAGGAGCTTTTGATTCAATTTTAAGATTATGATGTTTCCAACCATTCACTTCTTTTAATTTTTCTACGTGTAACGTATAGTGGTTGAAATTTGTAAAAAATCTTCGCGTGACATAGGTTTTCTCTGTAATAATAAATATTTTTTAGAACTGTACCTATACTTATTGTGTTTTCTATATTGACTTAATTTTTTTAAGGTTTCATTAGTCGTTAAATTTGGTTTAAGCTAAGGAAACGACAGTTTATTATTACAATCGGTAAAGTCTATAAGGGACCGCGTTGAAATTAGGTACAATTGAATGTTAAAATGAAAATAAAGACCAGAGCTAAAAGCACATTAGTAATTGAAGCGGGACCACCACATTTCTTATTATAATAATTCCATCCAGACTGATATCAAGATCACATAAAAAAGTTTATAAACTGCCGTTTATACAGATAGGTCGATTTCATTTTGAAATAACAAAACGTGCAATGTGTGTCTATCTGAGAACACTACACATTAATTTTTTTCATGGGTGTTAGCTCGAAGAATATAGTTGGCACAAATGTTTTCTCCCTTGCCTTCATTACCATCCATGATAGCCTTTCATGTTCTCCGTTATCGGATATACCTAGGCCTCCAAAATTTCCTCCCCTGTGTATCTCTTAAGGCGAAAATCATCTAATAACTTTTCCCGCTCAGGAAGTTTCAGACTCTTATTGACTAAACCCATTCCTTCTCCTGTTTTAGGCTGAGGCCGCGGTATATTATTGCGCTTGCCCCGCAACCCCGGCTGAACATCGGCCCTGTAAAGCCCCGTCTGTGGTGGTCTATTAGCTCTTTGAGGCGCGCGCGGAACGCTACGCGACCTACGCTCGGGTCTGATTCTGGTCGGGTGGCGAGCTATCCTTGGTCGCCGACTTACCCGCGCTTACGGTGGCCGGAGATCGTCTCTTGATCTCCAACGCCCGGAGTGTGCGTTACTGTGCGGACTGTGTCTTAACACGGTCACTTCACCTTTGCTGTTTTCTACAGTCCCCATACGAGTATACTCCTGGTGTATTTTCCATGTATGTCTAGCCATCATTATATGCCTAGCGTTTTTTTAATCTATGTAAAATAAATAAAATTCATTTACCTGTCTCATAAGCATCCTTATACAATAAATATAACTCATTAATCAAAGGTTCAAGAAGGTTGTCTTTTAAAATATCCTGACCATTCACTTCACCACTGTTTAAAAGTAAACACTGGATAAACAATGTTACTAAATATCTAAGCATTTTTATACAATTCTTTTCATTCCGGTCAACGTGTGAATTCGTTAACCAACATGGGTTAATGTTGGTATTGCTTTCATTGGACCGTTTATCTCAATAAATGGTTGAATGCAATTTAATTATCGATAAAGTAAGGTTATAATGTTTTACACTTAAATTAAGGATCGTATAAGTACGAATAATTTCAGATTTTTACACCAGTTTAAGCAAATATCATTTAGTAAAGTTTTCAATTGCAAATTTCTTTAACACCGTTAAGTCAGGAATGATTTCAAATACAATGTAATTGACTTACGAATACAAACTATAAAAGTAATATCCCTTTTAAAAATTATGATACCTACTACACTTAATACATGTACATTTAATGGGTACTTTACTTAGTTCTTTGCATTGGTTTCGAAATAAAATCGTTACTTATTAATAGTTTACGTAATAATTAAATGTTTTTGAAAACGACAGTTGACTCTCTAATCAGTGAAAAAAGATGTGATGTGTGTTGCCCGCAGCATTTTTCTTTGATAATCAGGCAAATAAACTGAATTGTAAAAACACACATTAACATAACTAACAATAATTACGTTATGTGAGCTAAAACAAATTCTATACTTCGCTCTTTTATATAAATATTGATAAAATACATATATACCTACATACTTAATTTAATAAAGCTTAAATTTTTGTTTGAACGTTCTTACCTCCAAAACTACTGGTACAAAATGAACTAGTACTTGGTTCTACATCTATTGAAGAAGACCACAGGCTATGTAACATCACGAGGTACATATATGCGAACCTACTAAATCCGAATATACTTAGTCGGGTCATAAGTTCTGTCACAAACTTTTGATGTAATAACTTATACGCCTTTTGACAATTATTTAAAAATTATATATGAAATGAAAGGTCATTAAATGTACAATATAATTTTATTTACATTATTCGAAATGCCCTCCCCCATTTTGAACACATGCCCTTAATCTACGCGGCCAGTCATCGATCGCTGCACGCACCACATTCATATCTATGTCTGCCGCTGCTTTAACCAGAGATGCTCGGAGAGACTCCAAATTCGGGTGAGGTTTAGCACAGACTTTTTCCTCCAAATATTGCCATATCTTGTAGTCCAGTGGGTTTAAATCTGGACTAGAAGAGGGCCAGTCTTCATGCCGGATGAAGTCAATTCCACGAGCGATCAACCAGTCTTGCGTACTTCGTGCCTTATGAGCCGGTGCAGAGTCCTGTTGGAATATCCAATGCCTGTTCCTGAACATTGTCTGAGAAAGAGGTTCCACTATGTTTGTTAGGACAGTATTTTGATAAACTTCGGCACTAGTTCTCACACCTTTTTCACAGAAAAACACCTCAGTTACGCCTGAATATGAGACTCCAAGCCAAACCATGAATGAGGAAGGGTAATGCCCACGCTGGACCCTCGCAATACGCGCGCTTGCTTCTTCACTGCTGTGGGCATACACCTTATCATTTTGTTTGTTAAAACTTTCTTCAATAGTAAAAATTTTTTCATCCGAAAAAAGAATTTCGCGGTATTTTTTTCCCGCGTACCGTCGTAGCAAAGCGCGGGATCTGTCTAGCCTAATTTTTTTTAAACGCTCGTTCAAAAAATGTCCTGTCTTTTTACGATAAGCTCGTAGTCCCAGGTCTTCATTTAGTACTCTTTTAACAGTGGTTCTGCTTAGCCCCATCTGCAGAGCTAGGATTTTTTGTTTACGTACGGGATTTCGTTCGATTCGCGCCTTCACTGCTTTGATGACCTTATGTGTCCGAACTGTGCGAGGTCGGCCGCTTCTCTTACGATCTTCGAAGCTTGACTCTTCGGTGTATCGTTTGATAGTACGATAAACAAACCGTAACGTTATTTTCAAATTTTGAAGAATATTGAAAATGTCTTTTGGCGCGTAACCACAGCGGTGCAACGCGATAACCGCGATTCTGTCTTCTTTATTCGACCACTCCATATTTAAAAATGAATAAAAAATAATTTCTTTTTTATTTTCTACAAGCGCGAAAGTTCTATTTTTAAAATAAGTCGAAGAATTTCTGGCCAGTAATCGAAAATTAAAAATATAAGGTTTTGACAGAACTTATGACCCGACTAAGTATATAATCACATGTACTAGCTAACGTGGCAAACTCCGTACGGCTACAAAATAACCTAGTGCTTTCTAACATTTTAAATTTTCCCTGGCCTTCAATGAATATATCAAGACCAAACTTTGGAAAATTTGGATTAGCCGTTCTCGAGATTTAGCAAGACTAACAAACAGCTACCTACTACTAATTTAATCAATCTGTCTGCAATATTGAATATAAGTAGTTAAGAGAACGAAGAAGAACATTTTCTTGGATAGAACTGAGATTAAGAAAAAAAAGCTAATAAATATATTTGTCCACAAATCCCAACCACCCAGTTAGGCAGGTTGTTCTAGTAATCAATTTCCAAATACCACTACATAATAATAATAATAATAAATAATAATAATAAATAAAGTTTATTGTGTCAAATAATTGGTTTACAAAGATTTGTGTTCGGAATCATCTTTTAGACAAATAATGCCTGTAGTAGACGATTCCGCTTCTCCCCGATAGCACAGCGTGATAATTAACACAATATTTATTTATTTTAACAAAACATTGAACTTAAAATTAAACAGTGAATAATACTTAAGATGGGTGTATGTGTGTTTGTGAGGATATGTATGTGAGTGTTGTGTGTGTATGTGAGGGTGTGTGATGTTGTGTGATGGGA